CCATATTACAATTATAGTCTAAAATACAATTCAGCTTCATTATTATTTCTCCTGAGCTGTTACATATACCAGAATCTGAGAATTTGTTATTACTCATTGTACTTATCTCTCCAATAAAATACAAACCATCTTTCTGACATGTCATGAATTCACTTTCCTTCAAATTGTGTGGCATTCCAGGTGGCCACACGTGTTAAGGAAATCCTGCGCAGGCCTGGCCTTGAGGAATTCCAGTTTGTGTGTGGGGGAGGAACTGTACCGTTTTGATGGCTTGTACAGGCCGCGGAGTAGAAATGAAAAACCATTTGATTTTCCTGCACAGTTTTGGACTATGCAGGCTGACCATAATGTGTGTGCTGTTGTGTTGTTCAGTTGTGAGGCCCCTGAGTAGTGAGAACAATGTCTTGTGAATGTTTGGAAGAATTATTTTCTATAACCTTATTAACTTTTATTTATAACCTAACCTGAAAAATTAATTTTTCAGATTATAAATAATTATTTTCAGATCAAAAATTTTTTGAGTAAATTAAAATTATAAATAATTTAGAAAACTTCTCAATTCATTTCTTCAGTTTTCATAAAACATCTTGATAATCTATATCATTTTTCTTTTACATTTTAAAAAATTTATTGTTCTAATATCCGAGTAAATTAAAACAGACAACTTAAAATAATAATTTAACAATAAGACAAAGTTTAATAAATTCTTTTAATAATTAAATTATAAAATTAATTTGTGATGATAATTTTTACAATTTGTACTAATATCAGTTGTGGTTGAGAATTATTAATATATATTTGCTATTTTTTTTCTAATATTTGAATAAATTAAAACACAACAATTTGAAATAATATTTTAACAACAAGACAAAGTAAAATAGGGAAATAGTTTAATATTATAATTATTTAAATTAAATTTGTTATTTATTTATTAAATATCTATACAACTATTGATTGATTTTGAAAATATCTATTTTTTGTTCAATTAAGAATTGTTTGTAAGATAGAATATTGCAAAAACAACAATGCTTTTAAAAATATTTGTGGTAATAACAATTCTTTTTAATATTATCTGATCTTGGACACCCAAGAAGTTCAATGTCTACATAACTGTGGCTCCAGTTTAAAAAAAATTTTTTTTCTATTATCAACCTTTAAATAAAAATAATTTTTTATAAACATTGAGAAATAATAAGTTTTGTAAATTACTATGTTTGATCCAGCCAGTTATATCTGATGGTTTTTCATCTATAAAATTTAATCCATGAATTTTTTTGGTAGTAAAATTGACTTGCCATTGATCTTTCGCTGATAATTGATGTTTTTTAACAGAATCCATATCCCAAGATTTCTCTTGAAAAATTAATTTTGTGATCAGTGCCACACAGACCACTACTACTACTATTTACACCATCAACTTCTATGCACATGTTTTTTCCCACGAGTTTTAATATAATTGGTTTCCAATAAACATCCAAGAACAGCCAGTATGTCATCATCAGATGCATGACCGACTGACTGACTGACTGACAGAGATTTTCCTCCTCATGTGTGGGCGATAGGAAATTCTGAATTTCCTCAAGGCCAGGCCTGCATAGTTATTCCTCAAAGGATTTCCTTAACATGAGTGGCCACCTTTATCTACTTTCCTTTTTTATTTCTTCTGAACATCTCCTCCTGTTATTGTAATATCCTACTGCATGAAAACTAGATAACATAATGATTCTTGTGATATGAGTCACTAATTTCGGAATTCCATACAATTAGCGACATCTAACATTAAAAAAGTTTTTAAGTAGAAATGAGATAACTTGGGTCCACTGGTCAAGGTCTTAAGGTGAATGCCTGAGATATTTCAGGAATAACATGGGACAGTTTAATCATAAATTTCTACTTTGTTTGTAGGATTTAATCTTTCTAATGGTAATGCTATACATTAAAAGCTTGATATAATGGATATATCGATGTATTTTTACCTCATTTCAGCAGATTAGATTATTGTTGCAAATTTAAGGAGATTGTACTGTAAATAGTAATATTGACTTATCCATTATTTTACATTTTGTTTACAATAGTCAATTAACATAGTGAATGAAATTTCAGTTGTAAAGTATATAAGGTTGAGTTTTATCAAACTTTAAAAATAATTTATCTATATTAATCTAAATATAAATGTTTATTTTATGATCCATGGCTCTGTTTTACACACAAAATCAAAGACTTATTATTCATAGAGAAAGTGAAACAAAAACTAATGTAATGTGAAAATTCATGTCAAAAAGTTACTAAAAATGAATTTTATATTATTTTTTCAAATAAAGTAAATAAAACAACTATGATGAAATAAATAAAATGATGATCGAAACTAAATAAAACAGCAACTAAAAAGTCCATAATAATAGGAGGAGAATGGTCTGCAGGACCTGATTAGTAGTCCATTGTAGTGGAAGTCTTAGTGAATGGATTTTCATATAATTTTCCTATACTTTTGATGACTGACATCAATCCTCTGTAATAATGTGAAGGCTGTTTTATCGCTGTAATATCTAGCTTTTATTGCATGTATTATTATTTTTGGGTGGCTATTCATAAAATCTTACAATGCATTTATGTAATCATTATGAAACATTCTATATCTAGCTTAAAAGTTACTCTGAAAGGTTTAATGAATTTATCTGTCATAAGTGTTAAAGCTTGAATCAGTTTACAATATTACAAAACTAGCCTTACTCTTTTCCAGCAGGTGATTTGTCTTGTACTAATGTTTTGGACTTCATTGAGAAGTGTTTGATAGATCTTTACTGTTACAAATTTGAAGATAATTTGGTTCTGGAATGTTTCAGAACCACAATGTATGCTTGTTGCATTGTTGTATTAATAAATCAAGTAGATGCTCAAGAATTATTTTTTAGAAATTATTTTACACAGATAAGTAAAAATGTGTTTAAAATGATATGAACACAAGCCACAAATAAGATTTATTTCAATAAGTATATTCCATTTTAAAATTTCACCAGATGGTAAAAATTTTTTGTAAATAAGAAGACAGTCATTTCAAAAATTGTTTGTGGACCACCATTTATTTTCTCAAATGTTCTAGAGTAAAACTTCAGATGACCCGACTTTCTTTATAGGATACACGGCCACCCAGGTAAACTATTCCTTAAAACACAGAAATTATCCAATTAAAACTATAAAATTTTTTAAAATATTGGAATTGGTGATCTTACAATGTCTTGAGTTGGATGAAAAAAGATGGAGAACTCAAGATGTTTAAGATCACCAATTCCAATATTTTAAAAAAAATTTATATTTTTAATTAGATAATTTCTGTTTTAAGGAATAGTTTATCTGTCCGATCATGAAGTTTTATTCTAGAACAATGGTTCCCAATTAGTGGTATGCGTACCCCTGGGGATACACTAAATTGCATGAAAGGATACGTGAGGTAATCTAAAATTGGTCGATTTAAAATTTAAATGCATGAGATGAAGCAATCAAAAAAATAATGGTTGGACCATCAAAAATTCGGCAATTTACAACATGATGTGGAATGCACAAATTTGTTTATTTATAACTAAAAATATTCTCGAAATTTCATTAAAAAAAAATGCATTTGTGACAATACCTAAATGAAATTCTTGCGCAAGAAACAAAAATTGTACAATTAACACAATTTGTCTTAATTGTACAATTATCATCATGTCAGCAAAGAGGCAGTAAAATATTTTCTACCATTTTGCACAACATACCTCTGTGAGAGTGGATTTTCGGCCATGACAAACATGAAAACTAAACATCATCACCGACTTCAACTCTAAGATGACTCAAGACTGAAGCTGACCAAAAAGCAACCAGATTTTACAAAGTTGTGCAAAGAAAATCGTGCACATTTGTCGCATTAAAATTAAATAACCTTATGTTATTTTCATTATTATTAGAATTGTATTTTAAAGGTAATAAATGTAAAAAAAACTTATTCTATTTAATATTTATCACTAGCTGTCTACCCACAGCTTCTCCCGCATTATATCGAATTTTCTCGTGGGAGTAAGATATTTTCTTGCAGTAAAATGTAACCTATGTCCATCTCCAACATGTAAGCTATCTCTGTGCCAAATTTTATTAAAACCTGTTCAGCGGGTTAGACGTGAAAAGGTGACACAGACAGAATTACTTTCGAATTTATAATATCAATATGAATTTCTGCTATAAGGGATACGCGAGTTTGAGCTCTTTCTTGAAGTGGTACGCAGGAAAAACTAATTGGGAACCACTGTTCTAGAACATTTGAGGAAATAAATGGTGGTCGACAAAAAATTTTTTAAATGACTCTTTATTTACAAAAAATATATTTCAGCTAAATAATTATATATGAGTTAATAATGAGTAATACCCTGTTCTTTGTTATGTCTTAAAAAATTTGGTTTGGGATACTCATATACAAGTTTTGAATCCTGGATTACTGAATTGTTGCCTATGATGCAATAATAGTTTTTCAATTTGCCCACATACTCAAACTGGCAAACTTCTGCATAAACAGATTAGCAAGGTTGACCCAAATATTTTCAACTGTGTTTAGATCTGGAGACTTTTCGGCATGAAAATCTCAACACCATCCTTGCATTTCCAGCAAACACATTTATTAAGAATGGATGTTTTAGCATATTTCATAAGCCTGCATCAGCTACTTTTTGGTTACTTTTTAAAGAATTCTAGTTACTTTGCCAACTATTTTTATTCCCAGTCATCATTTGCAGCATTATAATTATCAAAAATTTTCATCATATTTATATTTTTCCAATTTTAAATTATCCATCAAATTTTCATCTGATGATACTTGGGAATTAATGTTTTGTACAGTTCTTTATTGATCATAAAGTTAACCAATTTTAAAAGCATTCTGTTACCTTTTTCTTGAAAATATTAGAATGATGATTTTTATATATTATTTTAAAATATTTTACAAATAAAAAATGATTTTATTTTTTAATATGTAGGATACAAGACAAAATGCAGAAGCAGCTAAGGCAGCATTAGATTTTTCAGTCAAAGATGGCAAAGCACTTCGTGTGAGATTTGCAACACATGGAGCAGCTTTAAAAGTAAAAAATCTTTCTGGTTGGGTTTCCAACGAGTTGTTGGAAGCTGCTTTTTCAATATTTGGAGAAGTGGAAAGAGCAATTGTTATTGTTGATGATCGAGGAAGACCTGTTGGAGAAGGTATTGTAGAATATTCTAGAAAACAAGCTGCTCAAACTGCACTGAAAAGGTGTACAGAAGGATGCTTTTTGTTGACCAGGTAAGTTTCAAATGTTCAATAAATAAATTATGACATTTAAAACAATTTGTTTAATAAAAAATTATTTATAATAATTAACTAAAACCAGTAATCTTTATTTTAAAGTATAAGCTATCAGACTAACTTGTAAAAATAAGAAAAAAGTCAATTATAAAAGAATTTATGCTAAAATGTTAGAAAATATTTCCAATGTTCATTCAGCATTGTAAAATTTTGAACAAGAAATGGAAGTCGATCTGATTATGGTTTGAATTTATTCTGTGATTTGCACTTAAAGGAATCTAAGTAAATAGTTTTGTGGTCAAGTTCTTTTCAGTTTATAACACGTAAAGGCATCTATGAATGTGTTGCATTGTGTTTATGACAACTGATTAATCTAACAACCTACCTGTATTTGCAAATTTTATTTATTGTTTGTGCATTTATATCAGATTTTATATTGTACAATGTGTTGTTATTCTAATCACCAAACATATGCCGTAAATCCATCGGGCTAGTTTTAAGGCTAATTACTAAATAAATTACGTAATTAATTTGGCACTAGAGGTAAGCGTTAGGCGCCATCTCTTATTAATATTAATAATTATAAATAAATTAATTAATTTAAATAATTTAGAACCGCTGGGAGAAAAAATCGGCCCGGAGCGGGACTCGAACCCACAACTCCTGCTTACCGTGCAGATGCGTTGCCAGTTACGCTATCCGGACCTCCGATCCGATCTCCTCTTCCAGCGTATAACTATGTAACCATCGACGGTTATTACAATGCCGGCTGGGGACACATTCAGTGCCCACGTCCTACTCCTATAAGGCACTCAACCGGCCATCGCAAGCCCCGGCAAGGCGTAATATATATAATCATCGCTAAACCCGATGTAATATAGCTAATCACCAAACATATGCCGTAAATCCATCGGGCTAGTTTTAAGGCTAATTACTAAATAAATTACGTAATTAATTTGGCACTAATTTTTTTTCTCCCAGCGGTTCTAAATTATTTAAATTAATTAATTTATTTATAATTATTAATATTAATAAGAGATGGCGCCTAACGCTTACCTCTAGTGCCAAATTAATTACGTAATTTATTTAGTAATTAGCCTTAAAACTAGCCCGATGGATTTACGGCGTATGTTTGGTGATTAGCTATATTACATCGGGTTTAGCGATGTTTATATGTGTTGTTATTCATAATGATATATCAAAAAGCAAATTTGCTGTTATGGAAATTTTGTCAAATTTGACCCTCAGATTTTTGCAATTCTCCATGTTTTAAGACCACCTGAATCCAAAAAAGTAAAAAAAAACAGCAAAAAATTCCATGTGTATGTATGTGTTGGCATCTATTTCGTTTAAATTAACTATCTGTCTATAGTTGAATTATTAAAAAAGGATTATTTTGTATTGACCCAAAATTATTTGTATGGTCAAAAATTTGATTTAAATAATATATCCAGCATTTAACTATTGTCTATTATAAGTATTTTTTTTTTTTTTTCTTTCTTGCATTCTTAACCATTTAATTTGTAACATTTGATAGAACTAATTAATCTGTAGATGGTTTTTTTAATACAACTGAAAATATTTGTTAAATAGTTTTGTTGTTTAACCTGTCCTACGTTGTTCCCGAAAATATTTGTGTTGACCTCATTGACCTGCGTGGGCGATCCCGAATATATTCGTGTTTACATCGGAACATTTTTGATACTAGATGTCGCTATGCGTCACAATTTTTATATTAAAACAAACTTTTAAAATATAATTTTTTTGTTTCTATATTATTCAATATATTTATTTTGTTTCTAAAACATAAAAAATTATTTTTTTATGTTTTAGAAACAAAATAATTATATTGAATAATATATTTCGTTTATGTATACAGTAAACACGATTATCATTCAAAAAAAAAATTTTAGGCTTAACATTGACGAAAATTCAACACGGTGTCACAGGCAACAAATAAAAGTTTCAACATCAAATAGGTTAAAGGTTGTGAATGTGTTAATCATGTGGATTTATGGCATTCTTCAGGGAGACAGCCTGTAGATGGAAAGTTTGATTTTCAATTTTGTTTTTCTAGTTGTGAGTAGTCACCGTAAACTAAACAAAATCTCCAAAATAACTATAGCTAAGAAAAGAGTAATTAAGGAAGAAATGAAGTCTGATTTTCTCTGTGTTTCCAAACAATACATTTGAATCTGTAAAAACATCTTAATGATATTGATGCTTAAATTTAACTACTTCGTTCATCTAATTTATAATACTGGGATGTATTCTGTTGAGAAATTAGCTAACCTAATGCAAATTACATAAATATTTTAAATTTGCTCATTTATATAAATAATAAAATAAGTTGTACAAAGTTATTTCAAAAGAATAGAAACTGAATAATTTATTTATTTAAATTAAACATTATAAATATATTTTCTTGTTAAATGTATATATTAAATGGTTGACATATAGTATCAGTTTCTTGGAAAGTATTAAAAGAAAAATCAATATCTGTATATGAATAACATTAATCTGTATCCAATACTAGCTTACCTGTTGCGCATTGCTGCGATCTCAGAAGAAAGGAAATTCAAGCAAACTCGTTATGATAAAATTCAATTTACATTTTATCATTTTTATTGAAACTTATTATTATTATTCATTTTCATTGGGAAAACATTTCAAAGTGTCGTTTCAATTCTGTTTATTTATTGGAGTGTTTGTGGATACACGATACTTTTTGTTTTTCCGTCTGGTGCATACACGAATAAATCAGAAGGTTTTCTGATGCGTGAGCCAGCCACATCCAGTTGTCCATGCGAGAAGCACGGATTCTCCAAATTTAGCCCACACACTGGCAGCGATTGTCAGAAGTGTGATATTCCCCATTTATATATATATATTTTAATCCTTTATAATTTTAATTATTTAATTGCTCCTTCCTCTCTTCCTTGGCATGTTGTGAAATTTCTGATAGTTGGATAATAAACCGTTTTATTGTAATTTGTCTTTTTAAATTATTTTGAGTTGGTATTAAAATTTGGAAAAGGGGGGATACCTAGATCGGTAAAATACGCGAATTTCTTCCTACAACTTTGGTTGCTGTTCGGGGTACAGTTAAGGTTTTAACGAAGTTCGAGCGAATACGTAATTAGCAAAAAAAGTTGAAATAAAGTGATTAAACAAAAATTATTACAAATATCGTAAATGTAAATAACAGTTCACAAATGCATATATAGAGATATTTTTTGAAGGGGGAAATGGTCTTCAGAATTTGAAATCGATCGAACACACAGTGCTCGAATGCTCGTATAAACGCGCGCCATCTGTAGTAGGATAAATGTACTATGCCAGAAACTTTCGCGGGAGTGTATTAAAAAACTTCCCAAAGTTTCATGGCAATCGTACTATGCCAGAAACCTGTGCGGGAGTATACTTAAACAACTTTCCAAAGTTTCATGGCAATCGGATAAACGGTGTGGTAATGCATGAAGGACATAAGACAGACATACATTCATTTTTTATATATAGATATAGAAGTATATTTGCAATATGTTTTTTATGAATCACACAATGTAGACCTATATCTGTAATAATTATTGTAATGGAATGAACAAAAACATTCTCTCCTCTAGCACATTTTTATTTAAAAAGCTTTGGTTTTATCTGAATATGAGAATGTGGGGAAAAAACATGTAGTATGTAATCTAAGACTGGCTTATAAAGAACTCTGAAAATATTACTTTGTAATTAAATAATTGTTAGAGGATTAAAGTTTTTGTTCTTTCCATTATATAAGTGATTTTCTGGCAAATTTATTTAATATGACTAAAACTATTATAGATAAATGTCTCAGAATCTTTGTCATCAGCATCAATGATATTTATAGAATTGACTGATAGCAGAGTTTGATCTTTGTTTAGTCTTAACTTGCAATTAAAAAATGGAAATATTGATATTTAGATCTATTTTAGTTAAAGATTCAAAAAGTTGATATAAATTAAAAATAGATTTCTATATTTGTATGTTTTATTCCAATTTGCTAAAGAAAAATGATTCTTTAAAATACAAAATAATGTTAACATTGGTTTACATTGTTCATTAAATATGCCAGATAATATAAGTACTAGCAATGTTACTGTTTCTGTTGTTAATTTTAATTGAAAGATTATAAAAGTATGTATGTATGTATTGTGGCATTACATTTCTTGAAATATTTCCAGCTCACCTAGACCAGTTCTTGTTGAACCATTAGAACAGAGAGATGAAGAAGATGGTCTTCCAGAGAAAAATTTTCAGAAAAATAATAAACAGTATTTAAAAGAAAGAGATATTGGACCACGACTAGGCGAACCTGGAACTTTTGAGTATGATTTTGCTACCCGTTGGAAACAGCTTTATGAAGTTGAAAGACAAAAACGGGAAAATTTAGAAAAAGAAATTCTAGAAGCACGACACCAATTGGAAGAACAAATGGAATACTCGCTCTATGAACATGAAACTAATGTTTTAAGAGAGAGTAAGTTTTGTTTTTTTATAAGTTGATGTGATATTAATTACAGGTATCCCTTGCTTAATGCTTGGTTTTCTTAACATAAAAATTAATTATGACAATCTCTTTATATACACAACAGAAGTTTTAATTAACACGCCTTTAACAGCTGTCTGTACTTAATACAGATATATTTTTCTTAGCAAATAAGGTGTTAATGAATTTGCTATTTTTGCACTGAGGGTGATTTCCAATATATATTTGTAGTATAATTATGATGGTTGTGAAAATTAATGTATTACTGCTAATGTGATGTTATATTCTTTATTTACAAGTTTATTTTAAAACTTTTTACTTCACATTTTGTTTGTCTAAAATCAAATAGAAATATCTGCAGCTAAAATGCATATCAGGCATATTATATACACTTTTTAAGTTTTATAAAGGATATAATGTTATATGAGGTCTGTTCAAAAGAAGACTGAACTTTTGTCATACAAACTTTTTTACTGTGATTACAATATTATATATGTTTATTCGCATTAAAGTACTCTCATTGCTTGCATTGCACTGTTCCCATTGTTTTTGCCACTGTTGAAATGCTCCCTGGAATTTGTTTTGTGAGATGGTTTGTAGCTTTCTCTGTAAATTCTGTCGAATGTTATCTACACTTTGAGAACAATGTCCTTTCAGGTTGGTTTTTGACTTTGGAAACAGGAAAAAGTCTGCAACGGCCAAGTCTGCAGAATAGAAGGGTGGGGAAGGACAGCCATGTTGTTAGTGACCAAAAATTGGCTGACAAGCAGAGATGTGTGACATGGAATGTTGTGATGCAAACAGCTCAGGTCTCTTTTGGTACACATCTTCCTTGAAATGCCTTAAAACTTCTATGTAGAGCTCCTTGTTAACAGTCTGACTTTATGGCACAAACTCATGATGGACTATGTCTTGATAATTAAAACAACAATCAACATCGGTCATCCTGATCTTGAATTTTCTTCAATTGATGTTCTGTTTAATTTAAAGTGCTTAAACCACTCATGATACTGTGAATGGCTCGTACAGTCCTCTTCATAAGCCTGCCGAAACAAAGCTTATGTTTTTGGTATAAGTTTTGCTGGTATAAGTTAAGCAAAATTTCACACAAACACATTGCTCCTTAAAGTCATTCATTTTCCCTTTGCAGAGTGGTAACTGCATGTGTTCACTTCGACAGCTCTAGATTGCCAACTGATCAGAATACTACAATGTGCCAAGTGGTGTTGTGTTACCAAAGTTTGCTTCTAAGTACCACCACTTACTGGAGTTCAATCAGTTCATGTGTTATGACAAAAGTGTGGTTTTTTTTAAACAGCCCTTGTATAAACAGTAAAAAATACTCTTAGTATATGGGGAAAATGCTCCTAAATATCGAATGTGTCAAATGTTGTTTTGAAAGTTTTATTTGAGAAATTTTGAGCTGAAGCAGTGTTTCCGAATATGGGGCAACAGGGGCAATTCGATTGTTAAGAGGAGCAATTTGAAAATGGACTCGTCCAGAGTTTAAGCTAATTGAGAAACATTGAGCTAAAGGATATAAAATGTAATGGATATGCAAAAGCTGTTAACAGAGAGAAATTTCACAAAAAATTTGTTAAACCTTGGCAAACAAGAACACTTGAACTTGCAACAAATGTTAGTCAGCCGATTGCAGAGACAGAGTTTAAATGACGTTTAATGGCTGAATGGTGGTTTAAAATGCATTGCAAAGACAATCATCATCTATTTCTGAACACAGTCTAAACAAACCTCAACAAAACATCAGCTATTCATTTCTTCACTGTTACTCCCCTTTTTCTTTTAAGAGTCGTTCAGCCAATTGGGTTATTTGTTTGCGATGTCAGAAAAAATTTTGATAAGCACATCAGCTATCTTCTGAAAGCTTCTGTCAGCAAAAAACTTAAAGCTGTCAACCATCATAGTTTGGCAGTTAACTCCTTTTCCATTTCAATGTTTAGTTTTGTTGCCAATACAATTTAAAATATAAACAAATCTGGATTTAGAAAATTTATGCAAATTTAGAATTTGTTTTCAAAATAGATTTTTAAGGAATTGTTTTGATCAAAAGGAGAGAGTAATAGAAACTCTCTTCTTTTATAATTGTCAACATGAATAATTTTAAATATTTTAGTATATTTTTCTTTATTTTTATAAAACGATTTTGGCAATTATTAAAATTGCCTTGTTTGTTTAACAGAACTTTCTGATGAGGGGATTATAACAATAATGTCCTCAAAATGCATTAATGTTTTATAACCAACATATACCTGAATTATAAATAAAAGCATCTGATTCAATTGTAGTCTTCACCCGTTTGAATTGAAGCATTTAAAACAAATTTAGAGTATTTAATTATATTATTTTTGATTCAAGCAATTAATTAATGAATAATTTTGTTGATTTGTCTCATTTACAACATTTATCAAAGGAATGGTATTCATTTTCATTTAAACTTTGTGATGAACAATATAATGAGACAACTTCCACTCAGATTAAAACAATGTCTAAACCTGCTGTTGATTCTAGAAAGTAGATCAAATTACCGGTTTCTAAACATCGTCTAAACTGTGACAAGCAAGAAGCATTGTCTCTGCAATGAAATTTTTCTGAACTGCGGTCTAGATGATTTCGAAACCATTGTCTATACCTAAACATTGTCCCTGCAATTGGCCCAGTGTGTAATTAACATAGTGATTGTGTTCCGTATGCATTAAGTGAAAAAAAAAAGCAAACTGGATCAAGTATAATTTTCTCTGGCAAAGTTACGCAGCTCTAAGGTTTCATTTTTCTATAAAAAAATTATCTAATTTAAAAAGAAACTTTTTTATTGATGATAAAAGTAAAATAAAAATAGTTGTTATTAACTGAAAATTTTTTCTCTAGTAGGTCGTGATAGTTTGGTCGTGTACTGAGATATTACCGTATTTGATTAATGTGATTTTGATATGATATGTACAATAGCTTGAGGGATTAACAGTGTTAATCAAGGGATACCTGTATATAATACATGGTAGAGATTGTTAACTTTTTCATTTCAGACTTTATTTTCAATATTCTTGCATTGTATTATTTCTGATAACAAGCTGATATTTGTAAGAATACTACTAAATTTTTAGAAAATTCATAATATTTTACAATCATTCTTTGGAACTCTTTTTCCTAAATAAGAGAGAGCATTTAAAATTATAGAATGTATAGTAAGAATGCTCTGCAGTATGTAGGATTTCTCATTTCTCAGTCTTTTTGCTTGTCCCAGGATTTCTAGAAAAAAGGGAACTGTTTCCTGGGATCCCGGGATAGAATTAATTATTTTTAAGATAGACAAAATATCTTGAAATCAAATGATATAATTATTTTTCATTTTTTAAAGTAATTTAATACGTTCTGTAACCTCCAAAATCATATTAATAATGTGTAAGATACATATTAAAAATTACCTTTGAATTACCTAGAAATTTTCACAAATAGAAAAAATTTATTAAAGTTTGCTGGAAACTGCATACTACTACAACAACAACAAAATGCTTTGAATTGAGTTGAAAATAAAAAAAAATGAACTTAGATCAAACTTCTAACTTAAAAGGTAATTTTTGTTTTTAAATAAAACATAATGCAAAATATTATTGTAAATTTTTATAATAAGATTTTAAAAAGCAAAGATGGTCAATACTTCGATCACTCCATCTAATTCTTATTTTAGTAATGAAAAGTCCTTTTACCGAACATGCCCTTTCCGATTCAATTGATTTGAGTGGAATCGTCTTTAATACATTTAAGGGAAGACAGATGTTATGTGTTTTTCACCCGTAGCCTGGAAGATTTCTAATTCGTTTGCGAGACTGAAGTACTTCTTTCGCTCTCTAGTATTCATGATTTCTTTATTTCGGCTGCTTTAATTAATAGGAACATCAAACTTTAAATCCCAATAATTCGGCAGTTCGTTTCGCTTTAATAATCAAGTTTATGAAGAAAAACTTCGTACTCGTTTGTATCCTTGTCCAATTTGCATAACCTGGAGTTACGCAGTTATCGAAGCTACTAGACACGGTTAAAAATTAACACAATANCGAATGTTTTCGTGTTTACATCGGAACGTTTTTGATAGTAGATGTTGCTGTGTGTCACAATTTTTATATTAAAACAAACTTTTAAAATATAATTTTTTTTGTTTCTATATTATTCAATATATTTATTTTGTTTGTGCAACATAAAAAAATAATTTTTAACGATACAGTAAACACGATTATTATTTAAAAAAATTTTTTTAAGGCTTAACATTGAGGAAAATTCAACATGGCATCACAGGCAACAAATAAAAATTTCAACATCGAATAGGTTAAAGCTACTAGACATGGTTAAAAATTAAGGCAGCATAAGTACAATTATTCCAGATATTACAGGTTCTGACAAGTAAAGAATTTTCAGAATCCTGCCACAAATGAGCTACATGTTGATTATTGACCATTTGAGACATGACAATAAGCAAAAACTTTAAAAACTTTGATGTACTGTATAGGAGTAAGTCTACTAATTAGAGATCAAGAACATGTTTTAAATTAATTAAAAATATGATTAAAAATTGCAGCCCATAATTGTGAAGATGTCACAACAAGTTTTACTCATTATGACTATTGTTATTGTGCAGTATTTAATGCTGAACACTAAAACTTTTGTATTTGGGTACCTGTTTTTGTTATCCAAATATAGTACTTGAGATAATTTGCATAATACATGTCTGGCTATTTTGTACTTAAATGCATGCAGTATTTTGTGTTTTGCATAAGTTGATACAAATAGAAGTTAGTAACATCTAAATAGGGGCTAACTTTCCATAAAAGACCTCCCAAGAGCAATTCCTCCTCCAGTAGGTTGCTTATATGTTGCATTACCTTAATAACCAAACCAATCAATTGTATACTTAAAGACAGATAAACCAACTATGTGAGAAGGATAACTATACAACTTTTTAGAAAAATGAATCTTAAATCTCAGTTTGAAATACTGCTGGCTGCAATTGCAAGGTTGAAAACTACAGTGATTCATGCCTGAAGATTGTAGATTATATCCAGGCAGAGCTGCATCAAGCCAGTGGTTCAGTAGCACAGATCATTTCTAGAGAATTTAAAAAGTTTTCTTTCAATGAACAAGGAGTTTAAAACAACGAAGAAAATTGAAGCCATTTTTAATAGAAAAGTAGGTACATTTGAAGAGGACGAACTCAAGCTCTCAAGCAGTGACATCAATCTTTCAAGTATGCACCCCTGACAATGTGTGATATAGTAAGATTGTTCAGCAGATACAAAGTTCTACTTGAAGATAATTATTGATCTTTCAAGTTTGAAAATTTACATAGGCAAATGGTAATACAGTGCCATCATGAAGTCTAATAATGTCATGTATGAAAGTTGATTATTAAAACACTATGAGATTAAAGGAAATCTGAATTAACTTCAGTTAATGCTTATTTTCTGAAAATTTTAGGTCATATTTTCAGGTTTTTAGGGCTATAATACCTGCTTATTTTGCCATTTTTTAGGTCTTAAAAATCTGAGTCTTAATCATTAGTAATAAATTTGTTAAATTTATGTAAACATGATTAATATCAATGCCAAAATTTGATTGGATGAGTTTTGTATGATGTAATAGAATCAAAGTAGAAAATGCAGAAAAAACAAGTTATGCAATTGTTAATCATTGTAGTGGATTAGTGTGATTACTATAGTATATAAATGATAGTTTTATAAGAAAATTGTGAAAATAATAGTTCATGTTTTTGAAAGTTTATGCTTAAAATTTTATTTTTTCTTACAGAATTACGCCATATGGAAGAGCAAAGTACTCTTCTACAAAGAGAGAGAGATATCAGGTATTTAAATTTTATTTACAAATTTCTTAGAATTGCATTGGATTTTAATTTATTTACTGTTATTATAGAAAATCTTTGACATCTTGCATAGACGATGTATGTAATAATTGTTTGTGATCATAGATTGTATCATTTTTAAACTTTTGATATTGTAATGACTTTCCAACTTAATAATATAAATCACTTTATTAAATAGCTTGATTATTCATTCAAATTTTGGCTGATGTAATGTAACAAGAGAATGTCAGAAATATCAGTTGGCTGTACAAACATTAGAATATATATTGAAATTTTTCATGTGAATACTACCTTCATAATCAACACAGAAAAAACTTCAGAATATCAAAAGAATATATATAGCAATAATATATAATAATAATAATAAATTCATTTCTTATGAATATGAAAAGTTTATTAATAAACATTAGTAATAAATGCTTTAAAATTAACTTTAAATGAGTCAGTTCTTTTTTTTTTTTTTTTTAAATATGTGCTTTAGCAAGAAATTTAACATTCAGCTGTTATCAAGCTGACAATGATGTTTGTTGAATTTATTAGTTAATATCATTCAGATATTGTAACTGCATTATAAATTGATCACAAAAGCCATCACAATAAAAGTGTGTGCTGGATTTTGAGATTTATCAGTATATTTATTAATTAATAGACTTTTAAAAATGATAAAATGAGTGTTATGGCCATCAAAAATTACCTTCTTAATATTGGAATGAATCACAAACACACTTTAAACAACCTTTAAAGTCCAGTAACAAAAACTTTTTAATAAAAAATTTTAGGTTAAGGTTAAAAACATTTGTCAAAGGTTTTTTATTAAAAACATTTTTGTTACTGGACTTTAAAAGTTATTTGACGTGTGTTTGTTAATAAAGACAATAAGCTGTTAAAATGTAAATTTTCTGTAAATGAAGTAAACACTTTTTTTTTTGAAATTATGTTTAGAATGAAATATTTTTAACAGTACAAATAATTGATATCATTTTCTATATTTTTTGATGAAATTTTTGGCATGTATATTATATGCAGAGATTGTACTGATTATATTGTAAATTAATAAAATAGAAAATTGGGAATGTTTTATAAGAATTCAGAAATACAACTTTTCATTTTTCTGTTACTTATTTTGGTGAAAAATTAATTTTGACAATTAGTTGTTACAGAAGTGTAGGATTTCAATTTAATGCTTAATTATAAGTTAAAGTTAAATTATCCACAGAAGTTAAATTGTATGGCATGATAAAAGAATAGTACACATACTTGATTGAGATAGAACTTGAATTTCATAAATTATGCTAATTCATTAAACTGTTATGAACATAGTGGCACAGAAATAAATTAACTTTTCCAAAGCAAGGAATTTTTAAAACAACTTGCAAAATATTAAATATTTTTTCTAATTTTCATAATATGGTTTTGCTCTTAAAACAAAATTTTAAAATTATACACATTTGAATAAGGTAAAAGTTATTTGTTTTCAGAAACAATTTCAAAGTTTTTCTTGGTTAATTTATTATAAAAATAAAATTTAATTATAATTGAGAATAAATTTCTTTATAGATAATTTATATAATTTTAGTTTTATAGTTTAAAGAAATTATGAATTTAGTAAGAGCATTGTTAGTACGAAATTAAATTGTTCAGTAATTTTAGAGTTGAAGTGTAATTACAGATTTATCAAAATTAAAATAAAATTAATTGGTTATAATCAAAAATTATTTGACTAGTAACAGTTCACTGACAAATTGATTTTTGTTTTATTGTGAATAAAATTTGATATGTTAAGATCTACATTTATTTTAATTTTGATGAAATGTATTTTATTAAGGACTCAAAAATTTTGTTGATAAATCAGTTATCATTTGAATGTATTAAAGAAAATAATTTATAAATTATTTACTTAAAAAAAGGATTAAGTATTATAATAAGTTTATAAACTGGTGGATGATTTTAATATATGATAGTTTAAATTTTGGCTTTTAAATTAAATTATGATAGATTTGAAATATTTAAAGCAATATTTCAATTTAAGATTTTAATCACTTTTTTGAGATTGTATTTGCATTTATTAGTTATAATTTTTTGATTTATGAGTATAAAGATAAATAATTGCTAAAGTGCAAAAGATTAAAAATTGCCAAATTAAAAAAAAATGCTGAAAGTAATTACTTTAAATATTTGAAATATATTTTCAAAGAGGTGAGAGGGGGAGAGAGAGAATTTCAATTAAGATCTTTATTCGTTTCTAGCCCTTGGTTCAACCAAAGAAATTTTTCTCCTGTTAAAGTTTCACCATATGAATCGTAGGTATTGATTTTGAAAGCTAAGTAATTCTTGGAAATTTCTAGATTAAAACAATCAAATTAACTATTTTAAATGAATGAAAAATGTATTTGTAAAATGAATGAAATGTAACTAAATATACTTGTTCTTCTATAAATCATAACAAACTTTTGTTTGTTTTATTGCATATTGAATTTTGCTCTTGTATTAATTTAATAATCATAATTTTCTCTGTTGCTTTAGTTTATAGTATAAGTTATTTGTGATTTTGACATAATTGTTGTTCTTTGATTAATCATTTAAATCAAAAATTTAATTACATATAACGAATATATTAAACCATTACTGCATGAGTTTTTTATGGTGCCAAAAATATATATATGGTTAAACTAGGATCAGTATTTACTAAAAAACACCAAAAAATTTAGATAAACTGGTTGATATTACCAGAGAAGGTCATTGTATCAGATCTGCGACAAGTTGGGGTTAGGCATGTAAATAATCTGAATTAGAAATCAGCCATATTTATTATTTTTTCCTTACATATTAGTGTGAAACAGTTCTTGTTTTTGTGTAAATAAAGGTTTGCACCTTACCTATCACACTTCACAATGCTGAAGCTGTTGCACCATAGTAAATTGCAGCATTGGCATCTCTGACCAGAATGGTCAATGGCCTACCTGATCAACTTGAACATCTTTAGATGGATCTTTTATTTTTCTGATGAATTGCTGTCTTGATAATTACACTTGATCTATGTTTTGGAAGATTTTTTAGATCCTATGTTGGAAAGTTTGCTGACTTTATTATGGAAGACTGCCAGTGATATGACTGAAATTTTATGACTTTATGTAAAATTTGTGTTATCTTCATTAGATTTTTCAGGCATTGTTACTACTATTTTCTGATGAATTATCTTGATCTTGTGAGAACTGATAATCAACAACACTATCGTAATTAGAGAGATTTATGCTGCCACTTAGAAAATTCTGAGAATCCAAAGAATTGAGAATTTCATTGCTAGATCTCCCAAAACATGAAGGCTTATGAGACATGTTTGGAGATAATGAGCAAGAGAAAATATATTGAGAAAATGCAGGAAACAACTGTTTGGATATTTGTTCATAGCTGCAGTGGATAGTGCTGCATGATACAAGTTGCTATACATCTGAAGAAAAGATTGGCATTTGGTTTTTGTAGTATATATATAAAACAAAATGTGTCATATTGTGCAAATAAAATGATACTTCCTAAAATTAAATTGCATTATAAGTTACCACATACTTTACATTATTGCCAAGAGTTTGTTTGTATATATATCATTGTATAGTGGCTGTTGAAGATCTGGATTTGTCTAGATATCCAACAGCTGCCAAGGAGAGAAACATACAGATCTTAGAACAGCACCTGAAAGGTTATGAACAATCCATAGCTGGAGTGAATGAGCTAATTAAAGAATTAGAAAAAAATTTTCTTAATGGATAGTGAATATATAATTGTCTTTTATTTTGTTTTAATGTATCCTTCTATTAGATTAGATCTTTGTTTTTGTGTGCTCATAGATTCTTTTTTTAATTCAATACCATTGGCACAGTCTCACCACCGAGAGAGAGATCTTGGAGCTAACACATAATTTGCGTTTTACTTCTTTTTCAAATTTAATAATTAGTGAAAAAGTTCAACCTATTTTAATTAACATGACATGTAGCAAATCTGATACATGCTTCGGATCTGCAAAAGTATTATTACATGTTTAAATTAATGGCATGACCATTTGCAGACCAGAATATATACTCCATCATGCAGTTATGGGCTATTACATATAAAATCATATTATCTATAAATCTTATTATTTAAAAATCTTATCATTAGTCTTATTAGGCAAATAAAATTAATTTCTAAAAATCTTATTTTTTAAGATTGTAAAAATTGATTATAAATCTAAGAATTATGATTTTTAAATATGGATCATAGTATTAAAAAATTAATCAAAAAATTCCTATAAGTGGAAATTGTTTTCTGACAAATAAAATATGCAAAGATAAATTGTCTGAAATATGAGGACAGCTGAAGTTATTTGAAAGATAATCAGTAAAGGAAATACATACAAAATATATTATTTCCATCAAATTGTTCTTGAAACAATTGGTTTTATAACTAATCAATTTGTTAAATTCTAGTTTAAAATTTTTTTTATGAACTGAAATCCCTTTTTCTCCCAGAGACTATCTCCTGAGGGAATGGGACGTGTTTGTTTTGCTGGAGGGAATATAGTTTGCCTCCATGCTGCATTAAGAATTTAAAAATGTTGTTGTTTTAAATTTGTAACTTATATTTTGTTTAGTTTACCTGAAATATTAAACTTAAGTGGATTAAAGTTTTTAGCTATTTTGATGATTTTAGATACATTGTAAGTGAAAGAACACATTTGAAAGATCATTGCTCTTTTCATTACAAGTTTTAACTGCTTAATATAATAGAAATCAGTCATCAACTTAGTGTATTTAGCACAATCAAAATTAGCATATTAAAGAAAATAGTTTGAGAACAGTTAACATACAATTAGCCATACTTGATAATGGTACATTATGACAATTACTGTTAAATGTAATAGTGTAATATGTAATAAACATACTATAAAAACAATATCTTGTAAATTTGGCCATGTTTAATTACATCTTTTAGATCAGATCTCAGAACAG